ATATCATTGGCGGTGATTTCAACGCTGCTCACGAGGCCTGGGGCAGCCCCAAGTCAACACGCAGAGGTCTAAGACTACTAAGCTGGTTCGTCCATAATCAACTAGTGGTCATCAACAACGGAGAACCCACATTTATAAGCTCTTCCCATGGCAATGCATCTTGGATAGATCTAACGGTGGTTTCAAGAAATCTCGCGAGCAAATTGAATTGGTCGATCGCAAATGATACACATGGCAGCGACCACTTTCCTATCAAAGTATACTCCCAAGACCGAGTCTCCGAAACAGGACACCGCAGACGCTGGCTATACAAGAACGCCGATTGGGCCCAATTCGAGAATACCATTATTGATTCCTTGAAATCAGACACAGATCTATCAATTGACCAGATAAGTGATGTTATCATTGAAGGCGCTGAAGCTTCTATACCAAAAACATCTAGCCGACCCTCCAGGAAAGCAGAAATCTGGTGGACTGACGAAGTAAAAGTTGCAGTCAAGGCACGTCGGAAAGCACTACGTAACCTGAAGCGAACCTCAGCAACAGATCCCAATATGGAAGAAACCCGGAAAAATTTCAACAAGCTCGGATTGCTGCCAGGAAAGTGATTGCAGAAGCTAAACTTAAATCTTGGAATGCTTTCTGCCAAAGTTTCAACCCACATACGTCAGCCGACATCCTTTGGAACAACTTCAATAAACTATGTTGCAAAAAGAAAACAGGACAAAGAGGCTTGGTGATAGACAATAAACATGAACAGGATCCTGCAGTCATCGCTGAACAATTCGCAAATTACTTCCAGGAAGCATCAACAACAACAACTCCTGATTTGGATGGTACACCAGACGACGAGGACACGGATTCAAGTTTAGAGACCGAGGAAGATGTCGCTATGAACGCAGACTTCACAATTCAAGAACTTCTACGAGCCATCGACTCGGCTAAAGGGTACTCTACTGGCAGCGACAACGTTGGATATCCAATGATTCGCCATCTCCCTATCACTGGCAAACTGGCGATGTTACGATGTTTCAACCGTATCTGGGCCGAGGGTAAGTTCCCACAACGCTGGAGAGAAGGTGTAGTAATACCCATACCAAAACCTGGCACTTCACAAAGCTCTGTCGAAAACTACCGTCCCATCACGCTCCTGAGCTGTATTGGTAAGATATACGAACGCATGGTGAACCATCGGTTAATATCATTCCTTGAAGACAATAATATCCTACATCCCAACCAGCATGCCTTCGAGCTGGTCGTGGAACGTCAACATACTTTGCCGAGCTAAGAGAAATCTTAGAAAAGGCCAAACGCTCAAAACCCCACCTGGAATTCGCACTATTGGACATTCGGAAGGCATATGATCAAACTTGGCGCCCACATATATTAAATCAACTTAATCAACTCAATGTTGGGCGCCGTGTTAAAATGTGTATAACTGAATTCCTTAAAAATCGACGATTTTGTGTCAGCTACGGTGGTTCATATTCATCAGAGAAAACTCAAGACAATGGCGTCCCTCAAGGCTCGGTACTAGCAGTAACGTTATTTTTACTACCCATGAATACAGTATTTAAAGTTGTGCCTAAGAAGATCCGCATTCTAGTATACGCTGACGACATTGTTCTGGTTGCATCGTGAAAACAACTACCAACGGTACGTCGACATCTTTCGAATGCTGTTGACGCGGTGAATACATGGGCAAAATCTGTAAATTTTTCTCTATCGGCCTCCAAATCATGCCTTCTGCACGTCTGCCAAAGATCCAGACACAGATGGGCTAACTCGAGAACAGCGATAGTTATTGATGGTGAAAACATACCAGAGGTCAACGTTGCTCGCTTCCTGGGAGTATGGATTAACAAGAAAGGCCAGTTTACCATTGATGGCGCAAAAACAAAAGAAATCCTTCGCAATCGAATAAACTTCATCAAGGCTTTGGCACCGAGGGCAAGCAGGTCCTCTCTATGGAAAATTACAAACGCTGTGTGTATGTCAAAGCTAACATACGGTATTGAATTATTTGGAACAGAACTTACCAGTCTACTGCAGCCTATTTTCAATCAGTTGATGAGAGTCTCATCAGGAGCTTTTAAATCCTCCCCCATCCTTAGCTTGTCCGTTGAAGCTGGCGAACTCCCACTAGATTTACGACTAGCCGAATTGTTCATACGCAAATATTGTCGATTAGCAGAAAAAAGCAACCACGAATACCCACACTTCCGTAGAGCTGCAAACACTATACTCTTTAATATTTGCGGAGAAAACATCCCAACTATAGCCAAACTTCAACGCATTGGTTGCCGTCCCTGGAATCTTCCTCGTACCAAGGTGGATTGGACCATCAATAGGGCCTTCAAAAAGGGACAGAACACGAATAACGCCAGGATCATCACTCGAGAGCGCCTCAGCACCAAATATTGCGAGTACACCAAAATGTATACGGATGGATCAAAAACCTATAACGAAGTTGGCATTGGAGTCATCGGACCCGGCATTCTTGTCGAAAGAAGCCTTCAATCTCAATGCAGCGTCTATACTGCAGAATCTGCAGCCATCTTAGCCGCTGCGCATTACGCTCCTAGGACACCCACAGTAATCTTGTCAGACTCTGCCAGTTCCGTCGCTGCCCTCGATAGCGGCGAACTTCATCATCCGTTTTTACAAGCATTCGAAAAAGTAGCTGCAAAAAAAAATGTGGTTTGCTGGTCACTCAGGAATTCCAGAAAACGAAAAAGCAGACCAAGCAGCAGAACGAGGACGGACTGCTAGAACGTTTTCCCTATCAGTTCCTGCATCTGATGTTTCGCAATGGATCCAAGGGCTTTTCCGTCGAAGGTTTTCAGAACAATGGATCACTCAACGGACTACCTTCCTTCAGAAATGTAAGCCATCGGTTGAAAATGGACGGACAGGGACGACCGACGAGAACAACGAATTTTACCCGGCTTCGCACAGGACATACATGGCTGATGAAGAAACATCTATTCGATAGAATCAGTTCCCCCAATTGTGAAATATGTAACTCTGAACTCTCCGTTGAGCATATACTGGTTGATTGTATAAAATTTGATCATATCAGGGAAGAAATAGGATTAAGTAACAACCTCCTAAGCAACGCGAAAGAAAACGAGACAAAATTACTGAAATTCATAATAAAATGTAAACTGTTCAATGCACTATAAGAATTATGAACTAAAGTTTTAATCAGAGGCAAATGAACCTTCAGGTTTAAAACCTCTAAAATTAAAAAAAAATGTATTCTTGAAGAATATTAACCTAAGATTGTAAGTTTGTTAAGGATGCATTGAAATTCTCTGTAAAATCTCGTTTTTTCATGGTTGTTCTGATTTCCCGGTTAACTTCCTCGGTTCAGAGGTCAACTTGGGGGCCAACTCGGGGGCCAGACAAAATGTTCAAAAATTGAATTTGAGTTGATGGTTGGATTGAAATTTTACATTGAGATAGCATCTTATCTGTAATATTTGTTTGTGATTAGGTTTTTTCATATATCAAGACAATTTTTTTAAATGTTTAAAAACTATAAGGGGAGAGAGAGGGGCAAAAGTATATTTTGCTCATTCAGAAAATTATTGGGAGGGTGAAAAGTGCCATAGTCCCCTTAACTTGCCGCCTACACTGATAAATTAAACTATTCCCATTTTGCTTGAAATTTAATTAATTTGACAGTTTAATCGTACCGAATGATTAAAAATTAATATTCTCATTCTAAAAAATAATCATCCGATATCAAACCCAGTTAAATCACGGTTGATTAGATTGAATGTTATCTTTTTACCCTTCTTACAAAGAAGGGTATAGATATCACTTGAAAAACCGACTATCGATCCGAGGCCCGGAGGGCCGAGTGTCATATACCATTCGACTCAACTCGACGAGATCGGAACATGTCTGTGTGTGTGTGTGTGTGTGTGTGTGTGTGTGTGTGTGTGTGTGTGTGTGTGTGTGTGTGTGTGTGTGTGTGTGTGTGTGTGTGTGTGTGTGTGTGTGTGTGTGTGTGTGTGTGTGTGTGTGTGTGTGTGTGTGTGTGTGTGTGTGTGTGTGTGTGTGTGTGTGTGTGTGTGTGTGTGTGTGTGTGTGTGTATGTGTGTATGTAACGAAATGAATGCGCTCACGTTTCTCAGCAACCGCTCAACCAATTTGGACAAACTCGGCGCCAAATGATAGGTCTTGGGGTCCCATTGAACGCTATTGAACGGTTTTGGAATCGGTGAACCGGTTCCGGAGATATGGCCGGAATAAGATCCGGTGAATATGGGCCTTCACGATGGATTTAACGTAAAACGTATCAAAACCATCATGCGACACATCAAACTACTACAGAATTCAAAAATAAGATCAATGCAAGTCGTGTTAAGTGTTCCAGACCACATTGGACACACTTGGACATGTTCCGGGTACCCCGGGGAAGTTGCTTGAATATGAATTGAATTAAAACCCATTAAATCACATTAAAATACGATGATAAGGTGATTGGTAGCCTCACCAAATAGACTACACCCGGATATATTCCGGGTACCCCCAGGCAGTGGCGTAGCGTCACTGGATGACACGGGGGTGGGGGGCTTGATCACTGATAATGACAAGAAAATAAATAAACTTGAATAAGTAAGAAGGGTCTGATCACACCATAGGTGGATAAATTCGGGTTTTTGAATAAGTTTGAATCATTTTTGAATCATTTTTAATAATTTTTGATTGAATTTTAATCTTCTTTGATTATATATTAATATTCAAAAGGAATAAAATTTAATGCTGGAAAGATGAATTCGAATCTGATCATGCATGACTACTGCCAAAGTAATCATGGTTCGGACTCAATAAGGTGAAGCGGGAATCTGCATACTTTTTAAGCTTTTTTGATTTAATTTAACGTTGAGTGTATGATCAAGTTTCAAATCTATTTATTTTTTTGGAAATGCTCTCAAAGGAAATGTTAAACAATTTCAGCCCACAGTCGACCAACTCCGAATACTCACCTAAAAGTGGAACAGCATCCGACGTGGCTGGCATTGTTTCAGCAACCATGTTTAAAAATACAGTCAATGATAATAAAATTGTTACACCTGGATGGTCAAACGAAGAGGGTCGTATTTGTTCCATTCCATTCCGTTCCGTTCGGATCCCCGAGTGCACCGTATAAAAAGAGGATAAAGCGCGCGCATAAAATTGAAACAAAGATAACCGGAGAAATGGAAGCAGACAGAAATACGGGTAATTAATCCTCGGATGCTGGAAAAGTGAGGACTGAGGACAGGATAGGAATGGAGAGGAACGCCATCGTCATCGGGGTCAGCTGCAGTCAGGTTGGGTCAATTATCGTCAACGGGGAAAATGCTTGCACAATATGTAGGTATCTAGGTATAACGAAAAAAAATATCACAACAACATTTCAATTTGATGCTTAAACCATAAAAGACGCAAAAAAAGCACTTTCCGACTGACGACACTTCGTGGAACCGAAAGCAATTTCCAGCTGCCCCGATTCAGAGTGCTCCCCCGGGAGAAATATGTGCATGAACATTCAAGCGAATCGTTCTGATCAGATAATGGAATTGTTTAAGGGAGGGGTGATGGATGCCCACACTGTCCGAACCTAATGATAACTTTTCTCCGGAATCCGGCGGTAGTGTGAATCCGAGCAGTGCCATCGACGCTATCAGCACGCACGGGACGATCAAATTAAAAAAATAGTACAACGTCCGCCGCCGAATGATGATGGCAAATGTGATATCTATGTAAGGCTCCGGACAGCAGTTGTAGTAGATTTCGTTACGCTTCCCAGGGACACCTGCAAGAAAAATAAAGAGAAAGATGATTAAAATCGTTAGCTGGGGCAATTTGAGATGAAGTGCAACTGTGGTGTTGATTTCCGCCCAGGAGTACACTTTTCACTGCACCAAAGCGGTAAACATGTGAAGGAGCTGCAGTTGAACGCTTAGCCCTTTAACCTCCTTTGATGTTTTGTTTTTCATGGAAGCATCTCAAATTTTCTCAGAAAATATCCTCTTCTTATCAAGGAAATTCCACCCGAAAATTTTCTCAGTATTTCGGAGTTTGGACTTGAACAAACATAATTCTTAAGCGCAGCTATGAGAAAACATTAAAAATGTTTATTTCTCGACACTTAATTACAAAATACCTTCATCCATCTTCCTTAAATACACCAGAGACAAATGTTTAGTTTTACCACAAACTTCATTTCTCCGGAATAATACAAATCCTTTCGAGACACATCCCAAACCGTATCGGTTTGCGGTTCCAAATCCATTAAGATTTTTTCATCCTTCCTTCCCATCATCCATTTACAAGCCGGTCCGAAAACCCGGACCTGTCACAAGCAGCTCACCACAGTCGGAATTTAACAGGCCATCGTGTTACAACCTTTTTTTTTTGTTCTTTCTGTCCATTTCCGTTGAAGCTCGTTTGCGGAGGAATCAGCTACGGTAGGTGAAACGACGAGGTGATGAAATTCAATTGAAACAAAATGGTTGAAATCCTCGACCGACGACCGTGGTGATCTTTGCTCGTTGACGTCGTCCGTCGTTTCTAGTCTTCACAGCTAATACATCCGTGCCCAGCAGCAAGAAGCAAAGAATCTCGGGGAAATGGGTGAGGGAATTGGAACAGTTTCGTTACTTTTGCTGAGATGACAACTCAGTAATAGCAGCAGACCAGATCCAGCGCTAGCCAGCAGATTTGATTATCGGAAAAGCGATTCCGTTTGAAATGGTCGGAATTTTGTGCCTTGCCCTTTTCTCGGTGTGTTCCTATAGGTGACGTGGTGTGGTTCGTTTTGCTTACAGCACACAATTGTCATCGTCGCCGTCGCCGTCGAAGCAGATGTGGTGAATCATTGCTGTGAGTTTTTGGCCTGTCGTTTATTTTATTTCGTTTTTGGTTGCAGGGCCGTATCCAGGGAGGGAAATTGATGATGAGTGAAGGTACTGGACGCAACCCTGCCTACCATGGGTGTTGTTTTACGATGGGTGGTATCGATTGCTATCCTCTTCAATGGTTGAACGGTTGACGTGTTTTAAATTGGAAGAATCGCTTTGGATGAGGAATTTTGTGACGATTCTAATGAAACGTTTGAGTGTTGAGTACACAGGGATGGGGAAGGTGAGGGATTTCAAAACATGGGAACAATGGATAGCTGCCAATGGGACGCAATCACACTTTGGAGCAACGTTAATTCTTCTTAGATTAAAAAAAATACGTTGCACTCAATTTAATGTTCTGTTGATCCAATCTGCACTGGCAGCTGCTGCAAAGCTTTTGAAAATTTCTCTACCACAGTTTGGTGGAATTTGAATAAGTGGATCACATTTAACGATTTTCAATTCGTTGATACATTCTTTGGCAGAAATTCCAAGCATCTGCTAATTTTCATGGAAAATCCTTAAGTTCCATAGACTTATATGAAATCCTCAAAATGTTTCTGAAGATCTCTGTATTTTTAAAGCTTTCGAAGTTTTTTTTTCTCAAATTTCTATTACTTCCTCAAGCTCCCGAGATTTTCTTGGATATAAAAACGAAATAATTACTATAGTTCTATGATTTTCATTGAAGTTTCAAGATTTTGCAGAAGTTCATGGAACTGCCCTTCTATTATCGACTCTAATTCGTAGCTTCTTCAATAGTCTAGACTTTCCTGACGTTATTAGATTTGTCCCAAAGATTTTTGAATGCCCTCAAAGTTCTTAATTTCTCAATTTTTTTTTTTTTTTTGAAGTGCTAGCTTTACTGAAATTAATTGAATTTCCTTGAAGTTTCCTTAATTTTTCTTAAGTTTTGAAAACTTTACATACGCTCACGGAACTTTGCTTTAATGATGTGATGATGTTTTTATGCTTGACTGAAGTTCTCTATATTTGTTTAATTTTCCGAAAAAATGTCTGGAACCGTAAGTGGGGGTGACAATGGGCCAAATAATCAAAAAATTTCGTTCCCATCCTTACAACATTCACAATTTAGCAAGGAAAACAATTTTAAGCATGTTAAAATATGACTCCCCTTTCCTTGGTTAGTTTTTGCACCTTGCTGCTGGTGGGCGGGCTTAATTTCATGTTTCATTGTTGGAGACGGTAAGTTTATGGCCGGCGTTGCTGGCTCATGCCGCAATAGAATGGCGCCACGGGCAGGCAATGGGGATTACTAAGCTTCCCCTCTCTGATGAACCACTACATGAGAAAACCAAAGATCTAGTCCAGCAGTGGGGATTTTTTCATAACTTAAGGAGCCCTATCTACCCTGAAAATATGTAAAACCCGGAACCAAACACCCTGTATAATAAATCTTATTTGTTAACTGCAGCAGGAGCTTGTGTTTTGTGTAGGAATAGGAATTTGAGCGGGGTTCTCTCTGTTTATACTCTTCAGTATGACGCGTTTGACATAGATGGCCCACAGAAACTCACGAAGAGCTACTGATTCCAATCAATAGCGGTGTGGCTTCTTCTTTCTTCTATGGATACTCATGGCTGATTGCATGGATACTCGCTGCTTGCAGACAGCTTTTCGTTGTGTACTGGAGAACAATGTTCAACGCCACACCACTTGCCGAAAGCACTGCTGCTGCTGATGATGCTAGCTGCTTGCGGGGAGCCTTTCGTTGTGTACCGGAGAACACCGCCACTTACCACGCGGTGATTGGTGAGACCGTATGTAACTCAACTTTGAAATCTGTGTTAGGGAAATCGCTTTTCGTAGGCAATCGGTGATAATCTTAATTATCATTGCAACAGTTACACATTCGTGCATTTTTCAATAGTGACATTTTTTAAATGATAAAGTATTAAATCAACAGATGCGTAGGAGTATTTCTGATCGACTGATGATAAAATTATTGAAATTGGTCCAGGGGCAGCTGAGTTATTAACTATCAAAAACTTTCATAATTTTGTTACATGTTCCATTTTCTGTTTTCACAATGTGTACCCCAATATAGAAATCAAAGACATAGTCCTACGTCAAAAAACTTTCCAAACCAATCGCACTTGGACAAAAAAAGACACCCACATTTGAGTTCAGATTACTCAAAATCGCTAAAACGTAGGTCACTCATAGTTTGAGTAAATTTTCCGTCACTTTCCCGGGGAAAACTTCTCGAATATGGAGAAAAAAAATAAGAAAATTGTACACAGGTTAGAAGTGTTCTAGTAGGCAGACTAAAACCACAATCCATTTTCCTCATATTCGAGAAGTTTTCCTCGGAAAAGCGTCGTAATTTAATCATTCTATGAGTGACGTACGCTTTCGTTGATATGAGTAACCTGAACTCAAATATCATTTTTGAGTCGTTCTCATTGGCCGTGCATGCAGAATTTGTTTACAAAAGTATGTCAAGTGCGTGTTGGTGGAGTCGTATGGCAAAGTGTTACAACCCTTTTTCTGCTGCATCACCGTTGAGGTGTTCGTCATAGTAATACTCCCACCTCTCAATTTTATGGAGTGACCATTTTACGGATGTTGTTGATCTTCCGCACGACGGTCCCATGGCTATCTATCATATTTAAGTTCCCAGACAACCAGAAGTCGTATAATAATGTACAGACAGTATCGTAAATTGCTACAGTTTTAGTCAAAATCGCATATAAGAATGGCATACCTCGCATTATGTTTAAGTTAAATCGTATAGAATGCGAATTTGCGACCGATATGCGATGACTCCTTTTTCCATAGTACTGTATCTCAAATTAAATCGGATTACATCGTAAGACTTTTCAAAATGAATTTGTTATTACAGATTAAATCGTATATGATGTTAAATCAACTCGTTTAAAATTAAATTAAAATATGCACGTATATGGCCTCCACTTTTGTACGTATAAGTCATTTCTTTGCATTATATATGAATTGTTTGTTTGTATATATGTTTGTATATCACGAAAACAACTTTGAATATACGTGCATTCTGGTTGTCTGGGTTACGATCACAAATTCATTCTTATATCACAGTTCCTAATGTTTTTGAAAAAAAAACTGCGGAGCTCTAGGATCAGTTTCATTGATTAACCTCTCTTATGGATATTCTGGACTTACCAGAGAATGGCCCCATGGCCATTTGGGTCCATGTTTATGTCATGACCCCAAAATATTTCTTATATCGCAGTTCCACATGCTTTCGAAAAAAAACCGTAGAACTCTAGGATCAGTTTCGAGGATTGACCATTTTTAAAGATGTTCTAGATCTTGCGAAGGACGGTCCCATGGCCTTCTGGGTACATGTTTATGTCACGACTGTAAATTAATTTATATATGACAGTTCCAAGTGTTTTCGAAAAAAAAAACCGTGCAGCTCTAGGATCAGTTCCATACATTGACCACTTTTTCGGATCTTCCGGAGGACGTTCCGATGGCTATCTGGGTCCCAAAATCATTCTAATATCGCAGTTCCTAACGTTTTCAAGAAAACCACGGAGTTCTAGGATCAGTTTCGTTAATTTTCCACTTTCACGAATGTTCCGGATCTTTCGGAGAACGGTCCCATACCCACCAAGAACCATGTTTATGTCACAAGCCTAAATTCTTTCTATCATCACAGTTCTTAATGTTTTCAAGAAAACCACGGAGCACTTTTACGGATGTTCCGGATCCTCCGCAGGACGGTCCTATGGATATCCAGGTTCATGTTTATGTCACAAGCCCAAATTCTTTCTATCATCACAGTTCCTAATGTTTATAAAAAAAACGCGGAGCTCTAGGATCAGGATCGTGGATTTACCACTTTCACGAACGTTCCGGATCTTCTGTTGGACGGTCCGATGGCCATCTGGGTCCATGACCCAAA